AGAGCAACTTGTATACCAAGAAACCTTTCTGAATTCTCTGTAGGGACTCTTCTAAGGCCCCAGTCCACTTTCAAGTCAAATATATCTGGCAGGAAGTAGACTGATTTTGACCAGTTTATTGATGCCTCCGATAATATACAGTAATCGTCTAAAACTCTCCTCAATTCTCCTAGAGAAGAGCATGAGTTTTCACATGCCACTATCAAGTCATCAGCTATTGCTCCTGCTTTCCAATGGAGGGAGGGGCTTACAATCAAACCAGTGATATTATCGTTATATCAAATATTGTCAATTAATATTTCTAATTGGAGAACGAAAAGCAATGGAGCAAGGGGACATCCCTACCTTAGGGAGCGAGTCAAACAAAATTCCTCGGATAGCTGTCCATTGACCATAACTACCGAGGTTGCATTAGCGTAAGAAGCATGAATCCATTTAGCAAATCCTGGACCAAAACCCATTTTCTTCAGTGTGGTGGAGACAAAAGCCCATCCAACTTTGTCATAGGCTTTTTCCATATCTAGCATTAGGATAGACACTTCCCTTTTTTCCACACCGATCACTTCTAACGCCAAAAATTGACCGGCCCTTCACAAAGGCCCCTTGCTCCCATCCCACCAGGTGAGGAAGTTCTGCTGCCAGACACAATGCGAGGGCCTTGGCCATAATTTTATAAACAACATTTAATACAGAAATTGGACGGTAATTGCGGACTTCTCGCTTGTCTCCCTTTTTATAAAGCAGGTGAGGAAGTTCTGCTGCCAGACGCTTTTCTTTTGGGGAATGGGACGGAGTCCAAGTCCCATTCCGTGGACGGCAAAGGAGTGCCATTCCTTTGCTTTCTTTTTGTTTTTTTTTTTGCCATTCCATTACGGTTGGGCCTGGTTCTGTTCTGGCTAAGAGAGAGATTCTGGCTAAGAGAGAGATTCTGGCTAAGAGAGAGAAACGGGAGGGCTGGAAATTCTGTCGCTGCTTCCATAGCGATTTTCTTCGGATACGTCCGAACGTAACTCCTGTTTATTTTTTTGTGATGCAACATCTCGGTAACAAAGCCTGCAATCGACTCCCAGAGTCCCTGACCACTTCCGATTACGGCAGGGGGCAACATGCAGCTATGCTTGCAGGGGTCTCCTGTATAGGATTAGGAGTTGTGGTAGGAAGATAGTGAAGGGTGAAATTGCGAGAACATTTTTTTTTTTTTTTTTTTCTCTCTAAAAAAATTGGACCATTTCTCAATTTATGCGTGTCATCCATTCGCAGGGGCCATGCTAATCTTCTCTGTATCGTTCCAATTTTAACGGATGTCCCGAAGGACAAATTGCGAAAAGAATATAGCTCAATCTGGGGATGATAACAACATCAACCAGATTGACGTTTTTGGTTAACATGGCTCACAAAAATAACATATTTCATGCTGGAACCGACATCAAGTGGTTGTGAGGAACTAACTTTTTTTTTTTTTTTTTTTTTTTTTTTTTTTTAATGGCGAAGTTTGCCAGAGTTACCAGTTCCTTCAGCGAAGCATGGAAGATGCTAGCTGAAGGACTGGTGCAATTCGCGAGACGCAGTCCGGCAGGAGGAGAATGAAGTGATCCCGCGAGTGAGGGGGGTGTGTCCCCCCGCTTAAACGGGCGGGAACAGGGGGGTCCCGG